CCCCAAAACCCCAAAACCCCAAAACCCCAAAACCCCAAAACCCCAAAACCCCAAAGAAAAGACTATTAATGAAATATACAATTATTCTAATCAAGATCTAGCTGGAGATCATCTAGCTGCTCTTTAAGTTTTGCCTCTGTTTTTTCATCGAGTTTTGCTTTCTCTTCAGCTTCTTTAGCCTTGACTTTTGCAGATTTACCTGGTTTTACTGGCTTCTTCTTCCCTTCGGTCATTGCTGCTAATAAAGCGTCAGAGTTGTCCATGTCCATAGTTCTTTCTTCTTCATGGATTAATTCAACATATGCAAATTCTTCTACATACTCTCCTTCAGAGGGATTACAAGATTCTTCTCAAGTATAAATCATAATGCTATTCCAGTTGAGATTTACGAGTTCATTGACATAGTTATACAATGCTGGCATGATCTGTGCTTCTAATGTCATATTGCTTCCTCAGTTTTCACATTTAGGAACATTTGAGCTTTTAAGTCTGTACTTCTGACTACTCCATAATGGTAACATCCCTTTTGCTCAGTATCTCACGACTTGTGAAGGATCTGTCTTAGTTGCATCCAAGAAAATTTCGAATTCCTTTGTCATGAACTTTGATTTTTTAGAGTCAATCTCATCAACAAACTCTTCGAATCCCTCTTCATCATCTTCCTTGTCTTCTTCATCAGGGTTCTCAAGTAACTTCTTGGTCTGTTCAAAGTTTGGATCGCTTGAAGCTTCGTTTTCAACGTATTTCTGAAGCAACTCCTTGGCATGTTTCTTCTCTTCGGCATCTATGGGTTATTGTTAAATCTTACCTAGAGCTTCATCATCAAAGCTATGCTTCTCAAGGATTTCTCTATCAGCTTTGCTGAGTACACAGCTATCGTCAGAGTCATAATCCTCAATTTCTGCATCTCCTTTCTCAAGGATTAGCTGCTTCTTGAATATTTTCTTGGTAACTCTTGAAGGCTCGTCTTCGATTCCAAGTAAGTAAACTGAACTCAACTTCTTGCTTTCCTCTTGAGTTTTGAAGCATTCTGGATATTCTCTCTCACCTGCGAGAATAGCTTGGAGTACATCTTTTTGACCCTCAGCAATAGCTGCATCAGAGAGCTCCAAGAGTGAGTAATTTGGTGGCAATTCACTGAAATATTTGTTTGATTGAGCGAGGCTTCATCTAAACACCCTCACTGATTCTCAAGAGACAACACATTTTCCCTTAAGACAGGCGTAAATATACAGCATTCTATGAAATGTTTCTTCTTTCTCACCAAGTGGACAGTAAATCTGACCAATGAAAGTGAGTCTAGCATTGCATCTGCTGCAAACAGTCATATCAGGGATGAACCCTTCCTTTCAAATAAATGCCTAAAAGAGATAAGATCTTTTTTTAAGTAAATAAAGCCCAAATTATTAATAAAATAGCTTACCGGTGCTCCTCCAATGAAGGATGGGAAGTACAGAGACTTTGTAGCTAACTTATTTTGTGGCTTCTCGAGGAAACCAAGGCTCACGGTGGGAACTGACTTTTCCATATTAGAGTGTTTATCAATTATTAGTAATTTATTGGGGTTTTGGGGTTTTGGGGTTTTGGGGTTTTGGGG